ATTTCTGGATTTTCTATTTGGTTCCATTGGTCCGTGTGTCTGTTCTTGGTCCAATACCATGCAGTTTTGATTATTATGACTTTGTAATATAGTTTGAAATCTGGGAGTGTGATGCCTCCCTGAGGGAATATATTTTAAACAGTGATAAGCACTGAGCTCTCTGGGAACTCATTTACATTGCATATCCATAGGTTCTGCCCTGTAACATTCAGATTCTGTAGATTTGGGGTGTGGCCTAGAAACCTGCATCATGAGTGACCCTGCAGGTCTTCTTCTGAGCTGGTACCTAGATCATTCTTTGAGGGAGCAATAATCATTAAATTGACACAAGCAAGATTAACAAGATAAATGATAAACAGGGGCCTCCCTGGTGATGCAAAGGGTTAAGATGCAATCTATGAAGCTATCTGTAGCCACTGCAGCATGAGATCAATCCTTGGCCAGGGAGCTAACCCACATGGCACAGCAGACCTTTCCCCTCTCGCTTGCTGCTCCCCTCAGCAGTGTATTTCAGTAGATCTGCCTGTTCTGCTCCCCACTCTGTCTCTGGTGAATCCCCCACCCCCCACGCCTCTGGCCTGTGCCCCATTTCTTATATGCATAAATAAATAAATCTTTAAAAAAATTAAAAAAAGAAAAATGATAAACATTTTAAATCTTTTTTTTTTATTATTTTCGATTGAAATAATGTGGTGGGACCTGAACCAGGAATATGACCCCTGTTGTAGAAGCCATTGTACCACATTCCTCAGGGCCATGAGAATGGGTTGCCTCATGCTCAATGAGGTGTGTCTGCTCCTTCCAAGATCCTGGTAACATCAGGTTCTGATGAACACCCGAGGGTCATTTTAATGATAACACAGAAGAGAGCAACTACTCCAGAAATGTTATCAACAGTCTTGTGATATACTACCCCTTGACTGCTTAACACACACCGAAACACTCCTGTATGCTCTCATACCCCTTCCTTGCCACTTGCAGAGAAAAACTTTTCTGATGCTGCTGTCTTCCCTGTGTGGTGCTGCTCTTTAACTAAGTGCTTCCTTTGTGGCAACACCTCCTGGTTCAGTCTGGCTTTCTGGTTGGTGACGGTAATTCTGGTTTACAACACTACATGATTTAGGGGTTAGGATCACAGCTCTTCAATGTGTTACTATACCACACTCACTACCAAAGCATCAATAATCCTCTACCACAGTCCATTTTGCCCTCTACTCCCTTTGCTCCCACTCTGCCCCTCTGGTAGCCTCAATTCTGTAGCCAAATTTCTAGGGTTTGTTTTTGTTTAGTATTGTCTGTTCCTTGGTTTCTTAGAAAAGATAAACTTAATTGTATGTATACAGAGGCTAATACACAAAATAAGTAACCTCTCATCTAGTCACTCCATTGAGGTGAGATAGTCTCTAGAAAGTTGGCAAGAAATTTAGGAGGGACAAACAGAACAAAGAAACTTTGTGATTTAATGAAAAAGGAATTTTGCAGGGTTTGTCTACACATGTGTCAGAAACAGATCTTGCAAGCCCGAGTCTGGGTCATAAGCTGAAGGGTTATCTCCCACTTCCTGGACCATCACAGAAATTTGGTTCCTGATTTTAGGGGGAAATAGAATGAGGAAAATTCTCTTTATCATTCTTGGATCTTCTATCTTTTAATTTCTTTTTATTCAAAATAAACACCATGCCAATTAAACACATCTTGACAGCCTATCTTTGTCCTCAACACAAAAGCAAATCTCCATGTGGGGGCATCCCCATGCTTTTAAAAGCCTAGCGTTAAGCTCTCATTGGGTGGGTAGCATTTATATATCTTGCCACTGCTCCAAGCCTATTTCTTCATCTCTTACATGTGGTAACCCACCTTATGATGTCATTGAAAGGTTCTCTAGGTACCCACAACTCTACCTGTACCAGCAGTTGAAATCTCAGTTCTGAGGTAACCCGGGGGTTGTGCAAACAATGTTGGGGAACACTGGGTGAGCTGAGGTGACAAATTGGGGCTGTGTCAGCAAGAATGCAGGTTGCAACCTAGATGGTAAGACATTGCATGCAAGGGGTGTATTTGCATTCCCATGCCAGGATTTTGGGCTTGATGGTGTTGGGGTCCAAGACAGGCTGCCCCAGGATGTGTCTACTTAGACATTGATTATTTTGAATTGAAAAAAATCAAGAGACAGAAGATCTGGTGATGAAGTTTTTGCCTCACCAGCTCCCTAAAAATAAGAAGTAAATCAGTGTTGTTTTCCTGGAGGTGAGAGGTAAACTTATCCACCTTATCATTCAGACTAGGACTGGCAAAGTCTGTTTCCTATATGTAGATATCAGATATGTAGATAAATACTGCAAAATTCCTTTTTTTTTGTAAAATTGCAAAGTACTTTGTTCTGTTATTCCCTCCTAAATTTCTTGCCTGCTTTCTAGAGACAGTATCGACTCACTGGAATGACCAGATAAGAAGTTCCCTTATTAATTTTGTTAATTTTCTCTTGCTAATTGCCCTTGTGTCAATTTAATTATTTCCCAGTCATACTGGACATAGAAGGTAGAGAAATACTAGTTTCTTCCCCAACAATGGACAAAAGTTCAGGCACAGAGACAATCCCCAGACCTGGGAAGGATCTGCAAGAGGCTCAAAAGTTAGCAAAGTGGAACTCTATCTAGCCAGTGAAGAGCAAGGTAGTAGGTAGGGGCACTTGTTTTCCCAGCATCCACAAGGCAGCACTCCAAAGCTACCTGCTTCTGTCTACCTGGTGCCTTTAGACTGATTGTATCCTGTTCTGAGATGCTGACACTCCCTAGCTGGCCAGAGAGCTAAGTAACTTGCACAGACTTGAAGTCTGTGAAGCAACTATGCAAAAATCTACTGTCTAAGTGTAAACCGGCCTTTCAACCCCCACTATTGCCCAAGGAACCAGATGAAGATTTAAAAAATGGGTATTCAGACCTTGCATCTTCATGGTGCATTCTTTAGAAATCAGGGAAGTGATTAGATCCCAGTATTTGCCTTCCTCTCTACATAACATCAGCACATCTTCAGATAAAATAACTGAGAAACAGAAGCCCCCCTGCCAAGAATAATTACATTTTTGCCACCAGTGACTCACTGTTTCTATGTAAACGAAACTGTCACTTGTGATAGTTCGAATATACTCACAGGATTAAATCTGTTGGGCTGCTTCCTGGGTTCGACTTCTCACTTTAATTTTCTAATAAACTGGTTATCATTAAGTTCATTGAAACTTTTATTTCAGTCAAGACCTTACAGGTGACAGCACCTTGGCACTGTGATAGCCTTCAGGTGTTCTTATATCCTGCCTACACCTTTGCAAATATAATTGATTCTTACTATTTGCAGAAGTTATGTCTTTTAATGTTGCTGGAATACCACATTCTCAAGAGAAAGATAAAGGACAAGTTCTTGTGAGACTCTGGTCAGTTGATATATATATATCCGTCCTCATTTTATATGTTTTTCCATTTATATTGTTAAATAAAAATATATTCAATATTAATGTGAGCCATTAGTATTGAGTTCAAGGCCAATAGCACTATACCTCCTGCCCTAACAAAGCTTGTTTAACACATTTGCCTGTTATGGCACTTCCCAGTCTATTTGTGCTTACGAATACTAGATAGCACTTCAGCACTACACTTCAAGGCCATTTTAAAGTGAAATCATAATGAAAAGCACAAAAATATGAAAAAAATAAGACACTAAGTAGACCAAAAAACCCCAAAACAGACACTTGTTTGAGTGTGAGCCTTGAGGGGGAATGCAGAGTATCCCTTTATTGGGTTTGGCTGGGAATATGCATGTTGGGCTACAGAAATCTTTCAGTGCTCTGCGTATATCTACAAATAATTGCTGGAAAGCCTCTGTATTGATTTGGGGGGTTAGAAATAAATTTTAGTGAGGCAAAGTCACAAATACAGAATCTGCAAATAATGGGGATCAACTGTCTTCAAATGGCTGTGATATCTGCTTCCTGTTGGTGTTCCTCCTGTCGCTCTTGGGATAGGGAATGCTTGAAGAATATCTCTGGGTGAAGTCTGAGCTGCAGGGTACATCCTACACAGTTGATTTGAACCCCCCAGCTCTACTCCTCAGATAGCTGTCTCTCTTTATTTCCTGTGTATTTCCCTGCCAGACGTGTATAATTTACCCCATTTCCATTTGGTTGCTCTAGGGACCAATCAAGATCATGGTGAACGAGCCATGTTTAATACTTGCATGTGGAGTAGGGAGAGAGCATGGATTCAGACCCAGGTTTAAATTCTGCTTTGTTTCTTATTGGCTCTGGCCAAATGAGTTTAATTTCCTGAACTTTATGCCCTTCTCTGTAAATTATTGCCTGGGTTATGTTATATCCAGGTGACTGGTTTGCTTTGCCAAAAGCTAACAGTATTCTTGAGAGCCAGTCTCAGCATATGCAAGGTCAGTTCCATGAAGGCAGGATGGTATCTAATTTGGTCTGTATACTAGCATCTGTTATACAACAGTTGCTTGGAAGACATGTGTTGCTTGAAGAACAACCCCCATTTTACATATACCACACAGTGAAATCTTCCTGTGGATAACAAATAATTATTAATTCTCTGTTCAAGTAATTCTATGATGGGAACATACCCAAGAGACTCTGGGAACATAAGAGGAGAAACTGAGGAAGGTGGCCTTCCTCTAAGAGGAGCTGCAACCAAAAGGAGGATGTTGCTTGCACTTGATTAATATGTGAGCTTCTTGAGCAGGGGCCGTGGCCGCCTTGCTTACTGACACACTCTTAATGCCTGGTTCACAATTCAGCACTTTGTAGGGGCTCAAATAATGAAGGATGCTGTGAATTTTGAAGGTGCAGTCCCCCTCACCCCCTCAGGTAAATGGAGAAAAGGGCAATAGGTTTAATTCCACTTCCCCAAATTAGCTGCCCGGGATCTGGGAAATAAAGAGCTCCCACTAGAAAGAGCTGGGGGTGGGGGTGGGGGTGGGGGTGGGGAGGAAGCTATATCTGTGTTTGTGTGTGGTCAATAAAGGCAGATAAAGGGGAGACTCATGTTCATCTAATAGGGGAGGACAGAGGAGAGGGCCAAATTCTTTGTAAAGTGCAGAGTTTAGAGTTAGGAATTAAAATTCCAGGTCTTCTACTTAATATTAGCTGCATGACCTCTGGCATCTGCTTAACCTCAGTTAAGTCTCAGTTTCCTCAACTGAGGAAAGGAATGATAATAACTCAGGCACACTGGAGATATTTTATCTGCAGTCACCATTCTGTGAGTCCTACATGTAACTCTCTATCTTTAGGACCACGCTTTGAGGGGGGTGCCATAATTCTCTCTACTTTATAGTTAGTGACAGCCCAGAGAGGGTCAGCACCCCATAGCTTGAAATTATGGACTTGGGATTTGAATCCCAAAATGGCACCCAAATCCATTCTCTGTTAACTTCCAGGATGGACCTGCTAACCTTGTGGGAAAGTGCACGATATTGTTTGTGTAGGTGCCTAATAAACCATAAATATTTTTAATTACACTTTTGCTAGAAGGCGCGCGGAAGGTAGGTTTGTCTGAGAGCGAAGGCCGGCAACCTGCAGCCTCCATGGCTCCCAGGGTCCAGCCAGCTCTGGATTCCGCAGGCTGGTGGAGCGGGGGCACTGTGGGTCACTGGGTGCCTGGGCCCGGAGGCGTGTGAGGGGTCCAGTCGCTGACGAGGCGCTGCGCCTGCTCATAGTACACGTGCGGGTGGCGTTGGCGGAGGCGCAGGCGCACCACGCTGTAGTCTGCTTTCTGGCCCATCTTCTTGCACTCGAGGCTCCAGGAGAGGTGCTTGTGCTTGTCCATCAGCTCCTTCAGGTTCTTTTCCACGTGCGAGATGTGGCGCTGCAACTTGTCAGTGCCCTGAAGACGAGAAGGGGCCGGGATGACACACCAGGGCCAGGCGCGCCTTCGCTGGATGGGCCCCCACCTGGGAAGGAGCAAGTCTGAGGAGGAGCTGTCCTCGCCTGCAGTTGGGGGCGACCCATTTGGGTCAGATGTGTTGGGCAAACATCCTGACAGGGCGGGCCTGAGGTGGGGGGTGCACTTGGAGACTGAGGCCCTGGGCATAGCTGGTCTTCTCAGTGCTTGCTTCTAAGCTGTCAGGCAAGGTATCTGGAAGAAGGGGGGGGAGGGAAAGGGGGGGCGGGAAAGGGGAGGAAGGGGGTATAGTTAGGGAGGACCCCTGATGGGGTAGAGGGTGAGGCAGACAGGCTGAGGGGAGTTACGGAGACGAGTGTAGAAGGACTGACAGACTCGGGTGAGGGAGGATTACCTGGGCCAGGCGTAGCTTCGAAATCTTACCAGGGAGGGTCAGGGTAGGAGGGTCATCAGGGAACCCACAGAGATGCGGGGAGTCCCGAAGGGGAAAGAAGAACAAGTACCTGGGCAAGGCGCGAGGCCTCGGGGAGTTGGGTGCCCACGTGTCTTTGAAACACGCGAACCAGGGGTCTGTCCAGCTTCTCTCTAGTCTCCAGGTAACTTTTTGACAGAGGACCCTGGCAGAGTGCAAGGTGGGGAGCAATGAGGCCCAGCCTACCTGGCACCTTTGGCGCCACCCCCTCACTCCCCACAGACCCTTTACCAAACGAGACCTTGATGAGGCCGCCGGTGATGTGCATCTCCTGGCTGAATTTCGTGCACCGGTGGATAGTTCCCCTCATTAGTCCTAAGGCCATGTTCATTTTTTCCTGTGTGGGTGAATAATGACAGCTCCCAATTCCTCTGCGCTCAAGTCTGCCCCCTGCCCTCAGTACTCATGTATCCTAAAGCCCAGCCGCCAACTACCTGCACCCTCTCTGCCCACCTTCAGCTCTGACGTCTCGCGCATCTTCTGCGCCAGTGAGGTGCACACACTATCGCTTATCTGCTGCTGTTGCTGCCGGATATCCTCCTCGTTCTTTGCCATTTCTTGTAAGGTGTCCTTGGACTCCATCAACAGTCGCTTGGCTTCATACAACGCTGTGGCACACTCTGCAGGGGGGTGGATCGTGCATGGGGTGCCAAGCCCTCCATTCCCTGACCATGGCTTTCTATTCTCAGTGGGTGGTGACTTCTGAGTGGAGGCTTTACTGAGGAACTTGCAGAAAGTCCCCTGGGGTTAGTGTGAATGGCATCTGCAAGTGACTTGGAGTGTAGGAAGCAGGAACATGCCAGGGGAAGAACTCAGTAAGAAAGTGGATCCAGCTGGAGATTGGCTAGGGCAATCACTGAGGGTAAAGGGCAGCAGCAAAGTCAAGAGTGGTGGCCATTGTAGGATAAGTCTCCCCCAAAAGGTTCAGATAGGCTCTTTCCCCAAGATGCTCCGGGTAGGTTTTGTCCAATAGGCAAGACCATGCATGTAAAACTAAGGTCAAGGCCCTGGGGGCCTTGGGAGAAACTGTTACCATTACTTAAAGAATGCAGGTTCCTGAGATTTAAGAGTATTTCTTGATACAAGCTTTTTAACCAGAGAAATCTATCTTAAGACAGGGCAAACATAAGAGGTAAGATTTTGTCATGAAGGCATTCCCTCCTTTTCACGTGAAACCCATTTCTCTCTCCTTGACACCTAGGTTCCTTAATACTGTATATAAATCCCCAGTTTGTGCCATTTACTTTAGAATTTGTTGCTGTGTAAAGTCTCCCTATGTATATTATTAAGTTTGGCCTTTCACTCCTGCTAGTCAGTCTAATGTTAATTTGTTTGTCCTGCCTCAGAAAAGGGATGGGGGAATGTTTCCTCATGTCCTGATAGCACCAAGGACACCCAACACAGAGGACTGCTTTCTGTGGACCTACCTGGGGTATAGGCACCCACAGGGTCTATAGGTGGTGTCTTTTGGCCCTGAGTGCGTGGGGTGGGCACACGGGAGAGGTTCACCCATGAGTGGCGGCCAGCCTGCTCCAGAACCTTGTCCAGTGGCTGGTTCATTAGGTCCACAGCTTGGAGCCTCTCCTTATAGCAGAAGACCAGAGTGTCCCGGCAGGAGGCTAAGGCCTGGGGGAAAGAAAGAAGAAAGAGTTGGAGGAGAAGGCAGAGTGTGATCTGGGAGGTTGGAGAGGTGGCTAGAAGTGATTTCTCTGTTCATGCTTGACGCCCAAGGGGCTTGAGGCAAAGCATTTCTGCCTTTAAACAGACCCTCAAGTTCTTGTTGTAACCAGAAAGGAGTGATTTCAAAATGGAAACTCAGAGTCTGGCAAGCTGGTGGCAGAGTGAAGACCCTGGACTCACTTCCTTCACATAGTCACAATTAGATATCAGCAGAACAAAGCCAGCAACACCTTAAGGAAAAATAACCTAAGCACACGCTAGGAGCAATCATCTGGCTGAAAGGAAAAAAATTAAGTGAACCGTGTTTATAGTGATAATGGGGCAGCACAACCCACAAGACGGAAGGGTGGCTGCTGGGTGGAGCCCCCTAAAGTTGTGACTCAGGGGTACATACCAGCATCGGAGACTCTTGAAACCTGGCACGGCATTGAATAAGGGAGTGCACAGACTGTATGCTCAGCTCAGGGGGTGCACTGGTGGAGAGCTACAGGAGCAGGGGTGCAGAGTAAGGGTTACTAGCTTGAGACGGAGGCTCTTTATATCAAACAGTCAGAGCCTGAACTGGAGGGGAGGAACAGGTAGGGGCACCTGTGTCTCCCACAGACAAGGCTGGGCTTTTCAAAACAACTGCACTTCTCCGCCCCTCCCCCCGCCCCCACACATACCTAGGGGTTAAAACGAAGACAACAAATGAACACTTGAGTAAACCAGAGTTTAAGCACCTGTTAATAATGGGGGCAAACACATCAGGATAAGGGCCTATACTGGAAAGGACAAGGGAACAACTCCTGATCTGTGACCCCATGTCAGCTACAGCATGTACCCATGCTGCACCTAGTGCTTCAAAACAGCTGAGAGGTGCAGCTGACATAAGGAGACCTTAGAATAAAGAAATGGCCCAGAGGAGGGCTCACTGAGGACCCAGCATACAGCTCGGGTCTCAGTAGGGAGCTTCAGCCCCTGATGCTCACTGCAGATGAGCCTGTGGTTTCCTGCTCTCCATCCTTTTTCGTTTAACTCTACTAACCCTTGCCTGTACCAGTTCTCTGATTACTTCAACAGGTACAAAGGCAAAAGTCTAGAAGTTTATGCCTGTTACACCCATACAAACAAAAAATGAAGAGACAGAAGAACATAAACACTGGAGCAAATTAAAAAAAAAAAAAAACAACCTGAGAGGAAACTTAATCCAGCAGAACTGTGGAACATGGCTGAAGAGGAGTTCAGATTAGAGTTATAACAATACTTATAGAACTGAAAAAAACAATGGTTACTCTAAAACAGAAAATATGAGGCAGTTGTAATTAGAAGTAGTGGAGCTAAAAAATACTATAACCAAATAAAAAAACAATGGAGGACCTCAACAGCAGACAGACAGAAGCAATGGAGAGAATCAATGAGCTTGCAAGCACAATGTCAGAGAACATACAAATAGAACACCCTAGGGGGAAAAAAAAAAGAATAAAAAATGAAAACGGTTTAAGAGCCCTTTGGGGTAACCTCAAGAGAAATAACATCCATATCAGGGGATCCCAGAGGGAGAAGAGAAAAAGAAAGACAGAGAAAATTTATTTAAAGATGTAATTGCTGAAAATTATTTAAATTTGGAAAATGAATGAGATGTTGTGATCTAGGAAGCCCAAGGAGTTCCAAATGAAATAACAGACAGACACACAGCAAGACACATTATAACAAAGCTGCTGAAAGCCAAAGACAAGGACAGAAAACTAAAGGGTAATCTATAAGGGAACATCAATCAGACTGTTAGTGGACTTTTCCATCGAATCATTACGAGCACAAAGGGAATGGCAGGAGATATTTAAAGTACATAAAGAAAAAGATTTCCAGCCCTTCAAGATTAATTTTCAAGACAGAAGGTGGAGTAAAGAACTTAACTAAAAACCAAAAACTAAAAGAATTTATGAACACCAAGTGTACATGAAAGAAGTCTTGCAGGGGTAATTATAAAGCAACGGAACAATGAATACAGAGGTAACAGACACCTAAATCATTTAACTCAGAGGAAAAGGAGAGTAATAATGTGGCCCATCAGATTGAGGGAGGCACCAGACCGTCCAACAAGCCATACAAACAGCCCACCATATGCTAATCTCAGCAGAGTCCTCAAGTGAAAATTAATGGAAATAATACATAAGACAAAGGAACTAGAGCCTAAATAAAACATAAAAGGAAGAATTTAAAAAATAAAAAAGACATGACAAACCAAAAACCAAAAACAAATCCAAAACATATCAAAATGGCAATAAGCACTTGTATCTCAATAATCACCTTAAATGTAAATTGATCTGAATTCATCTGTCAAAAAATGTAGAGTTGTTTGAAAGGATTTCAAAGCAAAGTCCAACCTTCTGCTGTTTACAAGAAACTCATCTTACCTATGAGTAACTTAGAGTTAAAGGCTGGAAGATAGTTGTACAGCAAAAGGTAACAAAAAAAAAAAATCGGAAGAGCTATACTTCTATCAGATAAAATAGATTTTCAATTAAAAAATTATTGACATAGAGATTGACACTATGTTATGATAAAGGACCTAATACATAAAGAAGAAATAAACTCATAAATAAATATGTACTAAATGATGGAGCACCAAGGTACATAAGACAATAATAGAACCAGTGAGAGATACTAACAACTCAATAACACTAGAGGATTTTATGGTTATTTATTTATTTTGTTTTCCCTGCGCAATTACTTTATTTTTATTTTTTTTAGTTTATTAACACTTAAAAAATCTGTTTATTTATTTATTTATTTTACAATGTTTGCTTTCTTTTCTCAGGTGTAGTCTCTATAGAATTCCCACCATCAATTCACCCACGGACCATCCCTATAATCCCCTGTGTGCTTCCCTCCCTCTTTTTGATCCCCTTCCCTACTCCTCCTCTGCAGAATGTCTCTGATTTATAGTTGTCTGTATATTTTTTTGTGTCTTTGTTTTTGTATTATTATTCTCCGCCCACCCCCCCCCCCACCACCCGGATCCCCTATATGCCTCCTATAAGTGAAACTATCCGGTATTTTTCTTTTCTGTGTGACTTATTTCATTGAGCATAATCCCTTCAAGCTCCATCCAGGTTGCTACGAATGGCATTAGTTTATCTTTTTGATTGCTGAATAGTAAGTATTCCACTGTGTATATATACCATATCTTTTGGATCCACTCATCTATTTTTGGGCATTTGGTTAGATTTCAAGTCCTACCTATTATAAATAGTGCTGCAATAAACATAGGGGTGCATGCATTCTATTGAATTAATGTTTTTGTGTACTTTAGGTAGATACCTAGGAGTAGAATTAATGGGTCATATGGAACTCCATTTTTAATAGTTTGAGGAACCTCCACACAGCTTTCCATAGTGGTTGGACCAGTTTGCATTCCCACCAGCAGTGCAGGAGAGCTCCTTTTTCATCACATCCTTGCCAACATTTGTAGTTGCTAGTTTTTTTTTTTTTTTTTAAATATGTGCCATTCTTACTGGTGTAAGGTGTTATCTCGTTGTGGTTTAAACTTCCTTTTCCCTGATTATGAGGGATGTTGAACATTTTTTCATATGCCTGTTGTCCATTTACATTTCCTTTTTGGAGAAATGTATTTTAAGTTCTTCTGCCCATTTTTTGATTGTTTACTTTGCTTTTGTTGAGTCGTGTCAGTTCTTTGTAGATCTTTGTGCTCAGTCCATTATCAGTTGTATGGAGTGCAAAAATTTTTTTCCCAAGGGTGTCTCTTTGTTTTGGTTAATGTCTCTCTTGCAGTACAGAGCTCTTTAATTTGATGTAGTCCTAGCTGTTTATCCTTTTCTTCACTTTCTTTGCTTTAGGTGATGTGTTTATAAAGATGTTACTGAGGTGTATGTCCTGTAGTGTTTTGCCTATATTTTCTTCAATATATTTTATGTTTTCAGGTCTTATGTCTAATTCTTTAATCCATTCTGAGTTGGTTTTTGTGCATGGTGTGAGGTAGTAGTCAAGCTTCATTCTTTTGCATGTAGCAGCCCAGTTTTCTCAGCACCATTTATTGAGCAAACTGTCTTTGTTCCATTGCATATTCCTTGCTCCTTTGTCAAATGTTAGTTGTTCACAAGTCTGTGGGTTTATTTCTGGGTTTTCTATTCAATTCCATTGGTCTGTGTCTATTTTTGCTCCAGTACCATGTAGTTTTAATTGTTATAGCTTTGTAGTATAGTTTGAAGTCTGGGAGTGTGATAGCTCCATTCCCCATCTTTTTAGTCAGGAGCACTTTGGCTATTTGAGGTTTTTGTGTCTCCATATCTACATGAATTTCATCAATCTTTGTTCTATTTCTTTGAAGAATGTCATTGAAATTTTTATTAGAATAGCACTGAATGTATAAATTGCTTTTGGATGGCCATTTTGATAATGTTAATTCTTCCAATCCATGAGCAAGGGATGTCTTTCCATTTCTTTGTGTCTTCTTCTATTTCTTTTAACAATGTTTTATATTTTCTTTGTATAGGTCCTTTACTTCTTTTGTTAGGTTTATTCCCAAGTATTTGATTTTTTTTGTTTCAATTATAAAAGGGATAGTTTTCTTGATTTCTTATTCTTCAGATTATTTTTGCATACAGAAAGGCAATTTATTTTTGTATTGATTTTGTATCCTGCTACTTCATTAAACTGGTTGATTAGTTTGATTAATTTCCCTGTGGTGTTTTTGGGGTTCTCTATGTATATTATCATATCATCTGCAAATAGTGATAGTTTTACTTCTTCTCTCCCTATTTGGGTTCCTTGTATGTCTTTCTCTTGTCTTATTGCTCTGGCTAGAACTTCCAGTATTGTATTGAAAAGCAGTGGTGAGATGGACATCCTTGTCTTGTTCCATATCTTAAGGGGAATGCTTTAAGCTTTTCACCATTGAGAATGATAATGGCTATATGGCCTTTTATGTTAAGGTATGTTTCTTC